GCCGTCGCCCGCGCCCACACGCCGCGTGCCCGCCCCCCCTCCTCCCGCATCTTTCCTCCCCCTGCCACCTCAGCATCCTGGCCGTCTGCAACCTGGCCGTGTCCCCCTTCCTCCTCGTCTTCCTTATCATCTACTTCTTCATGAAGAACGCCGAGAAGTTCTACCACCACCCGTCCTCAGTGGGTGCGTGACCCCCTGCGCTGCGCTGCGCTGTGCGCTGTGCTGGACTGCACTTGAGTGCTGCGCTGTGCGCCGTGCGCCGTGCCGCGGCTGGGCTATACCCTCTGCCGCGCTGCGGCGTGGCCGCGCGCCCGTGCCGGCGCCTTGCGGCGCGGGGCTGCTTGGCGCCTGCCGCGGGCTGAGCCTCCGCCACGCACCCGCCCTCCCTCCGCAGGCGCGCGGCGATGGTCGCCGCTGGCCGCCTGGCGCCTCAGGTGCGCTCGCCTTCCTCCTCTGTGCAACTCCAAAGCTGCGGTTCGCTTGCCGCGTGCAGCACACCCGCGTGCCTGCTATGGGGTGGTCCCCCTCCGTTCTTTCCACCTGTCGCCCCGTCCTTTCCACCTGCCCAGGGAGTTCAACGAGCTGCCGCACTTCATCAGGCACCGCCTCAACGCCTCCCACAAGGCAGCCGAGGAGTACATCCAGCAGTTCCCCAGCCCCGTGCTCAGGTGGGGACCGCTGCTGTCGCGGTCTGGCGGGGTCGCCACTGTCCTGCCTGGCCGGCGGCCAGGGCGCTGCCATTCAGCTGCTGCGCCCGGATCCAGCCCACCAGCTGCGGCAGGGTAGCAGTGACGTAGCGCCGCTCCAGTTGCTGCTGTTGCCGTGCGCGCACACCTGCTGCAAGCGCGCGGCGGCTGAGCGCAGCTGGTGCTGCAGCCTGGTGTGGCCTGGCGTGCATGGTTGTGTGGTGTGGGTGTGCGGGTGGGGGTGGGGGTGTGCTGGCGGGACAGGGGGCATGCCGAAGCCGACGCCCGACCGGCAAGGTGGCCCCAACCGTGTGTGCCCCCTGGCCCCTGCAGCCACGCGGCACGGTTTGTGGCCTTTGTGGCTGGCTCGGTGGCGGCGCTGCTGCTGGTGGTCACCCTCATTGATGAGCGCCTGCTGGAGCGAGACCTGTTTGGGCGCCAGCTGGTGTGGTGCGTCGCCCGCGCCGCTTATGATGAGCTGGCGCCTCAACGCTGCCGCCGGCGGACGTGGGACGGCCCCGCTGTGGCTGCTGGTGCGTGGACGGGCCGCCGCGGCCAGCTTCAAACGCCCTGCCGTGGCCGCTTCTTTCTTGCCGACGCCGCAGGTGGGTGGCCGTGGTGGGCGTGGTGCTGGCGCTGAGCCGCGCCTTTGTCATAGAGTCGGGCACCGCCTTCGACCCTGAAGCGGCGCTGATGGGTGAGCAGGCGCCTCGCTTCCTGCAGCGGGGTGGGCAGCCAGGGACGCCTGTGGGAGGGGGGCGCGCAGGCGTGGCTGGCGGCGCTGCCAAGGCCCCCCCCCTTGCTGCCAGCCTGCTGCTGCATGCGTTCACGGCAACCCCCTGCTGCCCCCCCTGCAGAGGTGGTGCTGCACACACACTACCTGCCACGGCACTGGCGGGGGCGGTGAGCCTGCCTGCTGGCCTTGTCTGTGTGCTGCGCGGGGCCTGGCCGCTCGCCTTCCCGCCGCTTGGCGTGACCGATGTCCGACCGCCCCTCACGCCTCTTCCGGCCACTGGCCCACCCCACCCCGCGCCCCCTGCAGAGCACACACACGTGAGGTGCAGCAGGAGTTTGAGGCGCTGTTCCAGGTGGGGCGCCAGGCGGTGGGCGCCAGACTGGCGCCAGGCTGGCGCGCTGCACGTGCACTCACTGCGCGTGTGGCCAGCGTTTCGGGCCCAGCAACCGAGCGATGGCAGCTCGTGGTAGAGGATGGGCCCCAGGGGGGTGGAAGGCGCGGATTCCCGGGAGCAGCCGCAGGCCCTTCAAGTGTCAGACGCTCTAGTCTCACGAGCGCTCCTCGTGCCGCCGCCTGCTGCCCCGCTGCCGCCGCCGCCCGCAGTTCAAGGCGCTGCTGTTCCTGGAAGAGCTCTCCTCCATCCTGCTCACCCCCCTGCTCCTCTGGTTCAGCCTGCCGCAGTGCGCAGGTGCGGGCGGGCGCGTGCGCGCATGCATGGCGGTGGCGGTGTGGGGGTGTGGGGGTGGCTCGGGGGCTGGGTCTGGGCACGCCAGGTGTGCTGCGGCGCCCTGCGTGGGCCGTCTCGTGTCCGTGCCATTCACACCCATCTCGTGTGCTTGGCCCATTCGCCGCCTCCCGCCTTTAAAAAAACGCACCCCTGCGCCGCGCTGCGCCTGCCTCGCCCGCGCTGCAGGCGCGGTGCTATCCTTTGTGGAAAGCAACACGGTGTATGTGGAGGGGGTGGGCGATGTGTGCAGCCTGGCGGCGTTTGATTTCCAGGTGGGCCCCCGGCCAGCGCCTGCCAGCACCAGCCGGCTGCCCGCACCGTGGCGGGCCCTGCCTCCTGCCCTCCCTACACGGGTGGCCCAAGCCAGGCTCGCTTGAAGTCTCAACATGCCCGCTGCGCCAACCCTCCAGCTAACCTCACAGCTACCCACCCTGCCACCACCCACCCACCTGAATGCAGCGCCACGGCAACGCCAAGTACGGCTCCCCGGCAGCCGCCCCGAAGCTGTACCGCAGCCGGCAGGGCAAGATGGAGAAGAGCTTCCTCTCCTTTGCCGCCACATACCCCGCTTGGGAGCCCGACCCCGCGGGCCAGCAGCTGCTGGCGCAGCTGGCGGCGTCCCCCGCTGCGGCGGCACTGGCGGCAGCGGGCCACCAGTCCCTGGCCTGGTCTCAGGTGCCGGGCTCGCCGCCGCCGCCGCCCGGGCTGCCGCCGCGCCTGTGGCAGCCCGGCGGCGCCCGGCTGCAGCCTCATGCCCTGGCCTCGGTACTGGCGGCCAGGGGCTACGGGGCCATGCCGCGCGCTGCAAACGGCCATGGCAGCAGCATCTTTGGCTCCGCAGAGCTGACGGGTGCTGGGGAGGGCAAGCTGGCAGGCACAGGCGGGGCAGCAGCAGGGGAGACGGGCGCGGGTGGCGGTGCGCTGTGCCTCAACCTGGCCGCCAGCCTGGCGCCAGCTGGCGATGCCACGTCAGACGACCGCCTGCGCGCCAGCCAGGTGCTGCTGCAGTCGCTGTATGAGCAGCGCAGCCAGCTGCAGCACCCCCTGCAGCAGTCGCCGCAGCGGCAGCCGCCGGCGCGGCCCGCAGCCGTGCCCGGCCTGGAGCCGCAGCCGCCTGGCGGCCTGGCCGTCACGCAGCAGCAGCAGCAGCAGCAGCAGCAGCAGCATAGAGGCTTTGCTCCCCAGCAGCTGCAGCCCCAGCAGCAGCCCGTCTCCGCCTTTCAGCAGCGGATGGCAGCGCAGCAGGCTGCCGCCGCCTCGCCCCGCATCTCGCAGCCGCCCTCTCCTGCGCCGTCCAGCATGGCACAGCAGCTGCTGCTGCAGCAGCAGGCGGCGGCAGCAGCAGGGTCGCCGGGGCGCCAGGCATGGCTGGGCAGGTGAGAGCGTGCTGGCATGCAGGGGGCGGCGCGTGGCTTTCGTGCACACATCGCCCGGAGCAACGGGCACAGCAGGGTGGCGGCTGCTGTGTGGCACAGGGTGCCTCCTGCTCTCCCCGCCTGCTGCAGGTCCCCCTCAGGCCGCCCCCGCGTGTCAGAGCTGTCTGTGCTGAGCAGGGAGGACAGCAGCGGCGCCGGCGGCGCCGGCAACGTGCCGGACGGCGGATCGGGTCCGGCCGCCGCCGCAGCATCAGCGGCAGCGCTAGCGGCAGTCCCCATGCATATGCCCGCCGCGGGCCGGCCAGCCCCGCAGTCTGGCGAGGCTTCGCCATCCGAGGACGAGTGGCTGCTCCAGCAGCAGCTGATGCACGGCACGGGGCTGCACAGCAGCAGCGGCGGCAGCGCGAGCGCCAGCGACGGCCCGCCCGAATTTTTCTGAGGGGCATCCTGGGGCGCCAGTCCCGCGGGCTGTGGCAGCAAGGGTGCGGGCGTGCTCCTGCTTGTATATTGTATTGCTCGGCCCGTGTGTGTGGCAACCATGTCACGCTCGTGTGTGCCACCATTATGATTTCATTGTGTTTGGCGGCCTGGCTGTACCAGCTTCTAGCTTGTGTTACAGGACAGCGGAACAGGCAGAGTCTCATCCTCGAGATGAGTGAGCGCATGCGTTCGTGTCGGCGTGTTGTTCTTCCAAAGAAGCTACTGAGCGTCGTTACTTCCAAAGCTACTGGGGAGCAAAAGGCCCAGGCGGTGCGTACATTGGCGAGTGCTGTTACTAGGAAGCGCGCTGGATGCTGCTCCCATCTGATGCGCATCAGATGAGAGCCGCGGCACCCCGGCTGTTGCTATGATGTGTAGGGGTTGGGGAGGGCACCCTGGTGCGGTGCAGAGGGGCGGGGTGGGCGGGGTCGGGGGGCGCACCGGCAGCGCCAACCGGCTGCAATTGCAAGCGGCCTTGCGTCGGGCCCAGGAAGGCCCACGAGCGATGGGCGGTGTGTTGGAGTCAAGCCACTGTCACTCATCTGGGGAGAAATGGGCGCCATGCCACAGTGGCATGGGGCGGAGGAGCGGGCCTGTAAACACATGTGGAACTGGGCAAGTCTTGCAGACGTCTAACCCGTAGACGTCTACAGACGTTGCCTGACGTTGGCCGGTTTGTGACATCTACAGACATCTACAACACCTCTGCACTACATCTGTGTACTTCTAGAGACGTCTTTACTACATGTCTGCATATGTCTCAACTGGTTGGAGTGACATGCAAACAGGCGTCAGGTGGATACATCCTCCCCAACCACGAATGCAGTCGCTTAACCGGCAGCGGTGTTGCAGGCTCCGCCGCCGTTGTTGCCTGTCTTGCAGCCTCGGCTTCCTCAGCCTTCCTCTTCTTGTTGGTTGTTGCACTTTTCTTGTGCATGCCGGGCGGTAACCATCCTATCCAGGTTGTCACGGTGCTGCACAGGACGGTGGGTTGGGGGGTGGGGATGGGGGGTGGTTGGCGGGTGGTGGCCGGGGTCTCTCCCGAGCAAGTGCTATTCGTGACGCAAGTTAAGACAGCCAGCAATGACCACATCCTCACCTCTTGGCTCGCAGTTGGCCTAGCATTCTCGTTGGAAGCCTGATCTACGGCCTCCTCATGCATTTGAATGCAGTGCATCGTGAATGAATCAATCAGCCGTCATATAAAGGCATGTTGACCCCCCCCCCCCCCTCCCGCCCGGCAGAGAGGAGTGTCGGTCTGTGTGGGGGTGTTTGTGTGTGGGGGGGGTCAACCGAATCATATGGCTTCCGTTTGGATGTGCAATGCAACAGCCTGCGCCTTCCAATACAAGTCATGTGAAGCCCATCACTTACCACTCTCTGTTTGGCATAAACAATGCCTTGCTCCTTGATGTCGTTTGATCCGCTCATGCTGGCTGTTCACAGACCTTGCCTCGAACGGTTGTTGGTTGGTTGGGTTGTTGCGGTGGGGGGTGGGCAGTGCAGCGGTGGGCACGCCGCCGTCGCTGAAGCCTCCACCACGTAATGGTGCAGGAGTCTACAAAAAGGGGTGAATGGTGCACATCCAATTAGAAGCTGTCAGGTAGTGCACATGTGCACATTGTACAATGTATTCATTCATTCATTCATTCATTCAGCAAGGATTCATTCATTCATTCAGCACACAGCCCGGCCGCCTCTTGCTCGAGGGCGGCCCACTTTGGCCTGGGCAGCCCGGGCCGCCCTCCCCCCCGGGCGCATGTTCGGTGTTGGAGGGGTGTGCCCAGCGA